TCGGAGTCCAGCTGCAGGACGGCAGCTGGTTCGTCCCAGTCAGGCTCCAGATGCCAGATGCTGGGTGCCGCCGCTGGGCCAGATTCCAGGGGCGGAGGTGCCCCCTTCGCCGATTTCTTGGGCATCTTTTTGGGCTTCGGCGGCATTCTCTTGGGGACCTCCTTCGGCGCCACATTGGAGCTGCTGCCCTGGCTGCCCATGCTGGTTGCTGGGAGGCCTGGTCCATCTGGATCGTGGTGTCGTGAGGAGCCTGGACCGGCAGCTTCTGAAGATGCCCGCGGGCGCTTCTTCGGAAGAGGGCGAAGCCTGCCTTCCGGTGTTGTCGCCAGTTTGGGCCGTGCCCGTGGCTGTGGTTCGGAGGCCGGCTGAGAGTCCTTCTGCAAGTCGTCGGCCTGGGGCTCATCATCTTCCGGATCTCCTGCCCCCGCCCGCAGCGACCGCCAGATGGCCATGGAGTACCTAGTGATAGGTGGAGGCACTCGTCTCCAGCGGGCTCTTTGCAGAGCGCGTCGCGTAGCCAGTTGTCGGGCCCTTCTGAGTGGGCATTGTCCTTGTCGTCCGCGAGGACGGAGTAGCCACCGAGGGTTGATCGGAACCATTGTGCACACGGCGGGTTGCTCACGCTACACGAGGCAATGGCAGGGCGCTTGGGATTAATGCAAGCCTGGGCCTGTCTAGGAGTGCCTGGCATGGGGCTATGAGTCAAGCTTTGCACCGGGGTGGAGGGGAATTGGTCCTCCCTTGGAACCTGTGCTGCTCCCTGGACGTGTGCCATGCTGTTCTGCTGTGAGCAGCTCAGAGAACAGGCATCTTCATCTTCAAGTGAGGCGCTGCTGGCAACAATGGTAGTCAGCTGCAGCAACCGGTGTAGCATGCAGTAACCTGGGATCCGAGGCCGCAGCAGGTCTGGTGCCGGAGGAGGGCACGTATTTCCTTCGGCTGCGTCGTGCTTGGAGAAGGTACCTGCACTGGGACAAGTACGGCATTGTCGCCGCATGGCACGGTTGCAGCAACGAGTGTGGTGGAGGCAGGCACACCGGGCATGCCGCTGGAGAGCCACCTTCGGTGGCACAGTGCCAGCTAGGACACAAGTGTCGCGTGCAGCTCTGGCTGGGCCCCTGTCGTGGCAGGAGACGAGGGCGGTGCCAACCTCAGTACGGCATGCTTTGGTTGTGGTCGGCCCGGATGGCTCAGAGTGAGAAGGCTGAGCACTGCAACTATTGCTGCTAGCAGGGTGCCTGTGAACTGCAGTGCAGTAATTTTTCCGCCGGCTTGGACAGTGGATGACGTCCGGGTGAACCGGAAGAAGAGCACGCCAAGGAGGCAGTACCTGAGGCCAGTAGCCATGTCGGAGATGCTGTGGAAGAGGTTCTGCTGCACTGCTCCTTCTAGGGACCACCAGATCCAGATCCAGGTCCATTGGGCCCACTGGGACGGATATGGATCGTAATTGTCCATCCTTGAGTGTGGACCGTGGTAGTGGTGGAAGTGGGGGCAGCTGCTCGGATCGGTCGAGACGGAGGTCTGGGTCCCGGGTTAGAGGGGCCAGGGCTGACAGGTCCGCATCCTCCCGCAGGTGGTCTGGCTCCATAGCTCGTCGCTGGTGTAGGCAGTGGCGGTCCGCTCGGGGGACTGTTAGTCGGAAGTGGGCCTGGCGGATCCGTTGGCACAGCTGCTGGTAGGGGAGCCATGGCTCCTGCAGGGGTAGCCCATGGCAGCGGCGGGGCCGCGAGGCCTGGGCGGTTGTCGGCGGAGCTGTCGTAGTCGCAGGACCCACTGGAGCCGGGGATCTGCTTCTCGGCCGGTTGACAGGAACCGGAGGTGGCGGACCTCGTGGCGCGGCACTGGAGTCTGCCGGCGCATCTGGTGAGTCAGGGCTGCTGGGAGACGTCGGCTCACTAGTGCTCTCCGCCGCAGCGGGCTTAGCCTTTGCTGAGGAAGCTGCAGAGCCCCTGCCTCTGCCACGGCCTCGCTGATTCCTCGGTGCCATGGGGCCTTCCGCCTGTTGCCGGGCTGGCCTACAGAGTCTAGGCGGTCTCGAGCCCCAGCAGCTACCGTGATTCCTCGGGTGACTCTGAGCACAAGGATGTCGTAGTGCACTGTGCTGCTGGGGCGGCTGCAGAGGAGCCAGCGTCTGGGCTGGCAAGGTGAAGGCTGCAGTCGCTGCAGTCGCTGAGGGCTCCCTGCGGGATCGTGGGTAGCGGGAGTTGACTCTAAGCATGGATGTCTCGGCAGGTGATGCCCGCACGCCAGGCTAGTTTTTCTCTGCATGCCTGGTCCTAGCTGAGCTCGGGTCCTTACGAGAGAAGCCTCACACTGTAGTGGATGAGGGCGGGCTCTGGTCACAGTCCTGCACCAAGGATCACTGCAGTGGTAGTGGAAACAGAGTGGCTGCAGCAGGACAGAACTGAGGTGTCGGCATGCTTTGGCACGGCTCTTGGCTGAGCTGGAGGAGCGAGGTCGCGAGGGCCGGCTGCCCGTGGTGGCGGGCTGGAGGAATTTGGTGATGAGCTCTCCCGCTTGGAGGGGGCTTCCGGTTACAGCCGGGGCAGGTGGTGCCCGTTCTGGACCTCGGTGGGTCGGTTGACACTGCCTGGGTGTGGCTGGGTCTGAGTCAGAGTAGTAGGAGTAGCTGTCATCCTCCAGTGGTCGACCTTGGTCTGCCCGGTGTTGTCTATAGAGGGCTGGGGGCATGACAGGGGGACCTGGATGCACTGCTCTTGGTCTCGTCGAGGGCCGGTCAACTTGTCGAGAGGGGGAGGCTCTTTCCCGAGGGGAATCCTTCTGTTGGACAGTGGTGCCGTTGGGAGCTGTATTCCGGCGTGGCTTCTTAGGCGGCGACGGTGTGCCATGGGGCCGCGCTGGTTTGGAAGGAGGTGGCCTGTTCGCAGGGCTTCGAGACCGGGGTCTGCGCCTGGGCTTCGTGCTGGGCGGCCGTCGGGAACGCGAGGAAGAGCGCCGGCTGCGAGTCAGTCTCGTCGGCGAGGCGCTCGGTCTGGAACGGCCCGCGGACCTCAGGCGAATTGGGGCCGTCTCTGGCCTTGGTTCCAGGTCTCTGCTGTCTGGCTGCTGTTCTTGCATAAGCTGCTCATGTAAGCGCTGCATCCAACCTGGAGAACGATGATAGAACGCCTCGGAGTAGATGGTGCAGGGCGGAGGTGCAGCTTCCCGTGGGTGTCGAACAGCTTCACTCTCCTGAGTGTACAGACGGTTCAGCCTGCCAGGTCGGGACTGATCACGTCGCCGCTTGCTGTCTGACCGCGGCATCCCGTCAGGGGCCCTGAATATCAGGTCTATAGGGGACCAGGGCTGGTTTCCTGTTTGAGAGGTACCCAGCTGCGTCAGAGGCCGGTCACAACAAGACAGAGGAGCAACGCTGGCTGTAGGCAGTGGCGGTGGCCTGCTCGATGAGAGGGCCTGTGTGGTCGACGGAGGTAGGCAGGCCTGAAGGTCCGGCAGGAACGGCGCCAGGCAGTTGCGGCAGGACAGAGACGACATGTGTCGGAAGACTCTAGCACATGGGTCAGGGCAGTGACAGTGAGGCGCCGGCTCGGCGAGAGCTTGCGCCTGAGCATCGCGTGGGGCGGTCACATCGGCGTCCATGGAAGCAGGTGCCGAGGGACAGGCCACCGCAGGCGAGGACCCCTCTAGCCTGGGTGCACGGGCAGAGGTGAGGGAATGACTGCAGACATAGTGCTCGGTGTGAGTCACGGGCAGTGTAGTCCTCGTAGTAGGGTCACCTGGGCCAGTACAGGGGCAGGACAAGTGGGGATGGGTGTTAGCAGGGCCAAGAGCACAGGTCGTGAGCGCAAGCCAGTATCGATCTTTTGCTGTGGCCAGTATCAAGTCGGTGCTGCACTGCTGGGCAACTTGGCTGAGACGGCTTCCATCAAGACTTGTCTGTAGAAGGGAGGGAGCCTGGTGCCTTTGGTGTGGTCTCCGTACCGACAGGAGAGCGGGATCTCGATCGAGGGCGCCTTGGATCCTTAGAGCTGGAGGGCTTGGCCAGGGAAGCAAGAGTCCGCTCCGCTTCTTCAGCAGCTGCCATGAGATCCGCCGTGTCAATGGAGTCTGGAGAGCCCGGCTGGGCCTGAGGCTTCTGACAGCTCTGGGGCTCGTCAGTGGTCGGCAGGGGACCAGGGCGCGATGCAGTCGCTGATCCGATGCGGTCCCAGTTATTGGTGTTCCATACCTGATGGTGCAGCCCTGCCCTGTAGCGTTCTCGGACGATCGTGTTGTCCAGGGTCTGATGCAAGCTGGCCAGCGTCTCGGCAAGGTTGACCTGCTCTGTGGGTGGAGGCGATCCTGATGGTGCCGCAGGTTGGTCTGAGGTTGGCCGCGACATGGTTCGGCAGGGCCTCTGGACACAGCAGGGGCCGGTATGCTGACACTAGGCAGTAGCTTGAGCCTGCAAGTATCGGCAGGAGCGCTGAGAAGGGACGGCAGGTCCTGGCTGTTGCTCCATATGCAGGGTGGCAGTACCAGCTGAGGCTCGCACCTCTCAGGCCAGGGCAAGTCGGCCACGGGCGGAGATTTGGTCCCAGCGGCTTGCGGATGGGGTGGAAAAGGATTGGGAGAGAGAAGGCAGGCCAGGAGGAGAAGGTGTGCAAGTACCATCCTGCAGCCTACTTCTACACTCACACACACACACACACACGGACAGTCTTCGTTCGAGCCCAGATGCTTAGTAGTAGTAGTAGTAGTAGTGGTAGTAGTAGTGGTAGTAGTAGTCCTAGTAGTAGTAGTAGTAGTAGTAGTAGTAGTAGTAGTAGTAGTAGTAGCAGCAGGTGGTAGAAGCCTGGAGCGTGGTTTCGAGGGCACAAAAGCCAACTATAGGCTGGTGGTCTCCACTATTCAGCGCTATATACCTTGTTGAGGTGCACCTTAAGACTATCCTGTCCACGTGGGATGCTTCTGTGTCACAACCAACATCCGCTAAGCACAGAAGCTCAGGCTACTTGCAAAGTCGTTTTGTCCTCAGCCTACACTTGCGCCGTGCCATGGCACGGATGAAAAGGCCCGCTTGTGCTTCACGGACGGTTGAGCAGAAACCGGACAAGTCCCAGCAAACACGCCAGGCCCAGCAGGTTGACAAGTTTGAGAACACGCGGAAGAGACAAAAGACGCCTGAGTCTTCGGAGAAGGCGCCTCCAGGTGACAAGTACTCGATGAACGAAGTTGACGAAAGCTCCTCTTACAAGCAGGGGAAGAATGCGGACCTGGAAGTTTGCCAAATGCAGATCGATGACCCCGTTCGGCAACTGTTCGAGAAAAGCAAGTTCCAGAAGGCAGTCCAGGCAACTTTGCAGCTGCTCAGACCCGATGCCGGCTGCCCCTACTTGCTGACGCCTGCCGCCATCGACTGCCTTCAGGAGGCTGCAGAAACAACGATCCGAGACTACCTCTCCTTGCTCCACTCTGCCGCTCGCCAGCAGGGCGCGCCGAGGTGACCTTGCAGGACCGTTGTCGAAATTTCCCCACGCTGAACTGAACCCTGAACCACCCCAAACTCAAAGTGCCAGGACGTGCTCTTTGTGCGTCACTTTAAGGAGATCGCCACGCCAGGCCTGCACACCTTCCTGCAGGACGGCGAGTTCCGAACTTTCACAGCAACACCCGAATCACAGTCAACCTTCCTTTGCAGGATCCAATCTTCAAGCAGCGCACCATCGACTTTTACCAGGCATGCGAAAGCTTAAGGGCTTTGGGGCTTTAGGGTTTTAGGGGCTTCGGGCTTAAGGGGTTTAGGCCTTTGCTTGTCGTGCAAGACTCCATGTAGATTTTCGGTTACTTGAAACCGTTTGACGTGCTTATTGCGCTATGCGAACAGGCAGGTAGCACCATCTGGCCATACTTTCGAGGGTTTTGAGGGGTAGAAAATAATCCGAAGACCACGCAACATCTTTGTCATCCTTTTCTGCAGCATTACCACCCTGGGTTTCCCAGGGTTGAAATTCCAAACCCTTCTGTATCACTGTCGCGGGGCGGTTTTGGATCATTGAAACAGAATATAGGGCATTGTGGGGTACAAGTGTCGTCCAAAACGTTTTTGAACAAAACCAGGCTCTGTAGACAACTTTTCGGAATCCTGTAACTGCATGGAATGGGATGAGAATAGAACAGCCAGGTAGCAACACCAAGCCAGACCTCAGAGGAGAAGTGTGGACTAGAACAGTTTTGAACAAGACCAGGACAAACTTTCGGAGGCTTGAAACTGCATAACACTTCATTGTATTCCGATTTTGAGACCATGGTGAAAGAAAGTAAGCACAGAGCCTATAGCTTAGTGGTTAAGCGTGTAGCTCGCGACGCTAGGCGCAGGGGCTCGATCCCCCTCGAGTCTTTTGTGTCTCGCCGCAATCAGGTCCGCTTCGACACGGTCTCTTCTCCGCGGCAGAGGAAGGGTTCACGTGAGTCCAAGCGTCAGTTTTTTCTTGCGGATTTGTTTCATTTTGAGACGGAGGCCCGCCACAACAGATCACAACACTCGACTGAGGGGTTTAGGGTTTCAAAACTGTTGGTGTTGGACTCGGGTGCCTTCTTCGTGCTCTAGACAAACGACGTGCGAGTGGGGCAGTTTTGGCATGTTGAAAGCATTAACCTGCAAGCGAACGCGACGTTCGATCAGGCTTTAGGCCCTTTTAAAGTACGATTCAGGGAGATCCTGAGTTTTTTGTGCATTCTGGCCACTGGCAGCACGAGGTGGGCTCTTCTTCAACGCAGTGGGCACTGCATCGGTTTAAACCTTTGTTTTAGGGTTCAGAGTGCCTTCCTCGCGCTGCTTTGGACAGCCATGACCGGGAACTGAGTTTCCTGGCAGTGAAAACTGCTCCTTGCAGCGCTCGTGGCCCCTGCTAACGGAGCACGTGTTGCCTTCCTGCTGGAGTAAGCCTGGGTTGTAGTACAACTTTAGTAGTGGAAAGAAATGCCTCGTTGGGGCTCCTGGCTGGAATGTGAGTACAGCTTTTAGTACTGGAAAACATCGTTTGGGCTCCTGCCTGGATTGTGCTTGGTTTTGGAAATACCTCGTTTGGGCTCCTGGCTGGATTGTGCTTGGTTAGAGTACAACTTTATAGAACTTTAGTGCTGGAAATGCCTCGTTTGGGCTCCTGGCTGGATTGTGCTTGGTTGTAGTGCACCTTCAGCACTCGAAATACCTTGCTTGTTCAACGTCAGTATTAGAAATGGCTCGTTTGGGCTCCTGGCTGGAGTGTGCTTGGTTGTAATGCAACCAAAGTGCTGGAAATACATCGTTTGGGGTCCTGAATGGATTGTGCTGGGTTGTGGTACAACTTTACAACTGGAAATGCCTCGTTTGGCTTCCTGGCTGGATTGTGCTTGTAATACAACTTCAATACTGGAAATGCCTCGTTTGGGCTTCTGGCTGGAGTGTGCTTTGGTTGTAGTATTGTTTTGGCTCTGGAAAACTTCGTTTGGGCTCCTGGCTGGATTGTACTTGGTTGCCTCGTTTGGGCTCCTGGCTGGAGTGTGCTTGGTTGTAGCTTAAGTGCTGGAAATACCTCGTTTGGGGTCCTGGCTGGATTGTGCTGGGTTGTGGTACAACTTTACAACTGGCAATGCCTCGTTTGGCTTCCTGGCTGGATTGTGCTTGTAATACAACTTCAATACTGGAAATGCCTCGTTTGGGCTTCTGGCTGGAGTGTGCTTGGTTGTAGTACTGTTTTGGCTCTGGTTGGTTGCCTCGTTTGGGCTCCCGGCTGGAGTGTGCTTGGTCGTAGCTTAAGTGCTGGAAATACATCGTTTGGGGTCCTGGCTGGCTCGTGCTTGTAAGACAACTTTACAACTGGAAATGCCTCGTTTGGGCTCCTGGCTGGAGTGTGCTTGGTTGTAATGCAAGTAAAGTGCTGGAAATACATCGTTTTGGGCCCTGGCTGGATTGTGCTGGGTTGTGGTACAACTCTAGAACTGGAAATGCTTTCGTTTGGTGGCTGGATTGCTTGTATTACAACTTCAATACTGGAAATGCCTCGTTTGGGCTTTTGGCTGGAGTATGCTTGGTTGTAGTACTGTTTTGGCTTTGGAACACTTCGTTTGGGCTCCTGGCTGGATGGTGCTTGGTTGCCTCGTCTAAGCTCCTGGCTGGAGTGTGCTTGGTTGTAGCTTAAGTGCTGGAAATACCTCGTTTGGGGTCCTGGCTGGATTGTGCTGGGTTGTGGTGCAAGTTTAGATCTGGAAATGCCTCGTTTGGCCTCCTGGCTGGATTGTGCTTGTACTACAACTTCAATACTGGAAATGCCTCGTTTGGGCTTCTGGCTGGACTGTGCTTGGTTGTAGTATTGTTTTGGGTTTGGAAAACTTCGTTTGGGCCCTTGGCTGGATTGTGCTCGGTTGCCTCGTTTGGGCTCCCGGCTGGAGTGTGCTTGGTTGTAGCTTAAGTGCTGGAAATACCTCGTTTGGGGTCCTGGCTGGATTGTGCTGGGTTGTGGTACAACTTTACAACTGGAAATGCCTCGTTTGGCTTCCTGGCTGGATTGTGCTTGTAATACAACTTCAATACTGGAAAAGTCCTTGTTTGGGCTTCTGGCTGGAGTGTGCTTGGTTGTAGTACAGTTTTGGTTCTGGAAAACTTCGTTTGGGCTTGTGCTTGGTTGCCGGGTTCGGGCTCCTGGCTGGTTGTAGTGGAACTGAAGTGCTGGAAATACCTCGTTTGGGGTCCTGGCTGGATTGTGCTTGGTCGTGGTAACTTTAGTACTGGAAATGCATCGTTGGGCCTCCTGGCTGGATTGTGCTTGGTTGTAGTACAACTTCAATACTGGAAATACATCGTGCGGGCTCCTGGCTGGATTGTGCTTGTTGTAGTACAGTTTTGGTTCTGGAAAACTTCGTTTGGGATCCTGGCTGGACCGTGCTTGGTTGCCTCGTTTGGGATATACCTCATTTGGGATCCTGGCTGGATTGTGCTTGTTGCAGTAACTTTAGTACTGGAAATGCCTCGTTTGGGCTCCTGGCTGGATTGCGCTTGGTTTGAGTACAACTTTAGTAGTGGAAATGCCTCGTCTGGGCTCCTGGCTGTATTGTGGTTGGTGCTTGGTTGTAGTACTACTTCAGTACTGGAACTGCCTCGCTTGGGCTGGCTTGTGCTTGTTGTAGTACAGTTTTGGTTTGGGAAAACTTCGTTTGGATTCGTTTGGGCTCCTGGCTGGATTTTGCTTGGTGCAGCTTCTGTTTGTACCTCGTAAATGGCAGAAGTGCTCACAATGAGTTTTCAGAGGACCGAGGGGCAGTTGTGGCCCTTTAAAAGCTGAAGCCGCGGCAGCGCTGAAGCATCCAGGGTGAAGAGTCAAAAGAGTTTCTCGTTGACTGAATACAGAGATCCTAGTAAGTTTCGAAATGTTGTGCCGGAGGCGACATGGGATACCACGCGATCTATGCCTTCCTGATTGGATGATCCCAAATTGTACCGGACATTCGTGTTGTACGCCGAGAAGGCTTTCTTGGGACTATTGCCAAAGTACTTCGGCGATGAGCGGAAAGTGAAATCCGCCCGATCCCACCTCAGGCAATACCTCAGCCGCACAGGTCCCTCCGATGTTCGGCGGGTGCCAGTCTGGTGGGAGGAGGCAACATGGAGTGCCACCTCGCGGCCTTTCACGCCAAGACCAACCCCTTTAGCTGAGCTCTGGCAGAGCCATGAAATCCAGGCGCTCGCATGAAGCAGCTATATTGAGAGTAAATCTGTCGTTGTTCTTGATTGGGTGCGTCTATATTCAGCCCTGAAGAGCCTGCCTTTGGTGAAAGCTGCTTTGTGAGCAATCCCGCAGTAAAGACAGCCATTATGCATTGTTTCTTTGGTAATTGATCGACTCAAAAGTAGTTTGGACATGGTGAAAGCTCATTATATTGCTGTGATCTGTTTTCTTGTCAGTGTTGGTATGGCCATCACCACCACAACAAGTGTCAGTGGGGCAGCGCTTGTCTGCAGGCGCCCGAGCTGCAGTTCGTCATGATGCGGCTCGTAGGCTGACTCCGCGAAGAATTTCATATAGTCCTGGGCCCTCTGTTTCCGGGATCTCCTAGGCTGCCTTTCCCTGCAGGAATGGTTCCATCGCAAAGTGCAGCAGAAAGGGCGAATGGCCTGCTGCAGAGATGCGGCGGCGACACAAAGCAGAACAATCTCCTCTTCAGCACCCGAGTCGACGTTACCACAGTCGGGTGCAAGTACAATGCCATGGCAAGGATCCAGCGTGGCCGCAAGCGCAAGGCACAGCACATGCATTGGGACGAGGACCACGATCTTTCCGCGGACAGCGATGCCGAGTCCTGGGCATCGGAAGGTGCTGCACTGGGATTTCGCGCAGATCCGCCGTCTGAAGGCGCTAGCTTCAGCAATCGTTCTAGGGGTTGGAAACCACACTGAAATAACTCCATGCCGTTTCAATGCTCAGGTGAGGAGAACCTCGGCCTGTCTTATCAGTCATCCCCGTCCTCATCTTCTTCCTGAAGCAACAGCAGCAGCAGCAGCTCGGCACGGTAGCTTGCAGATGCTCATTGAGTGACTTGTTTTGCCCGAGCACGGAGGCTCCTGAATTAGGTTTTGAATGCATGAAAGAGGCCGAAGTTGTAGCAGTCGCCCGATTACATGATCATCGTTCGGCTTGTCTCCGTGAGGGCACTTCACAGGGGGCGCATGCGTTTATCGGAACCTTGTGCAGAGGTTTTGGTGGTGAGTAAATGTTCCAGTGACCACCAGTGTTTGTTCGTATGTTCGAAACAAAGGCATGCACTGAAAGGGAACTGGTTTATCTCTGGATAGCCAGGCGTGTGTCGATTGTGGGAACGCTTCTTCAACCTGAAGCCTATAGTCTTCGTGGCACGTCAAACGTGTTGATCTTGGAGGTTTAGGGTATCGGGGTTTAAGGTTGAAGAGGTGGCTGCTTCCCCGGGTCGTTGCTTTGGAGAACGAGGACCAGGAAACAGTTTTGGCAGTGCAAAAGTAACATATGTAGGCGTGATTGAATCTTCTGAGCTTGTTAGAGGCTCTCATCGGACCCTTCAACAGTTTCGGCGCTGTGAAAGTGAAACTTAACATCGCTCACCTTGCTTTGCAGAGAGCGAGGACCATGCAGACGTGCTTCCCAACACCCTAAAATGGCCCTGGAGATGGAACAATTGAGGTTATAAGTTCCGTAGTTGGGGTTATATGTAATTATAAGTACAGCTACCTGGTTTACAACCCCGTTGCTAAGTACCATGATCCTGGAAGTGGACCCTAACCTTTCATAGATCCCGTATAGAACCTTTTGGGGAACAGTTTAAGGAAACCCAGTTACTAAGTACATGATCCATTAAGTAGACCCCGCATCCCTTTTCGGATCTTTCGATGTCTTTAGGCGACCTTATAGATCCCTTTTAAGGAGCCCTTTAAGGAACCCCAGCTATGAAGTCCCTAAGCCCTAAACGAGTTTCCTGGGCCTTCTGGACACGTTTCACGGAGCAGGGGACAGCTCTGGCTTTCGAGCTTCCTGAGGGTGGCCTGGAAAAGTGATCTTGTGTCGGTGCAGTTTCCATAACTTGAAACAGATTCGCATTGTCCGTTGCAAGCAAGTGCAAAGTCAAATCCGCGCAGGTCATGTAGAAACAAAGCAACTGTAAGCAATACTGATCCTACGCGAAAGCCATGAGGGGGTTTCAATAGCCCCAAACGTACAGCCACAACAGCGTCTTGAGGCCGCGTTCGTTCGGGTATCCAGGCCAGGCGTACTGCACCGTTGTTCGTTCGTTCGTTAGTATATTGCTGCCGTGCGGAGCAAGTTGGAGAGACTGTGCAAGAGTTTTCCATGCCGAAAACCACATTTAGCTATTCTTGTTTACTTGTGCAGTGACAAGAAGGTTTGGTAGCAATGCTTGCGTTTCAACCTTGTAAGTTTCAGGGTATCAAAACTGCCGAACGAGCTCCCGACTGCCTTTCCCAACCCTCTGTAAGGCATTCGCCCTGACCTGCCGTAATATCAGCTTTTAACCTGTGTTAACACATGTGCCGTCAAACGAATGCCGTTGTAACGAACCTGCACGTTGCAACGAGAAGCCTACCTAGTATAATAGAATGTTATATTATTATATTATATTGTGTTACATTCATTCCATTGTATCAGCATGATCTCGGCATCTAACCCTACATAGATGCCGAAATCTTCCAAATGAAAGCTTCAACCCCCAGTCAACGGTTTCAGCAGATCCCGCTGTGCTTTTTGAGGTCGCAAAACCTCAGAACGCGAGACAGAATCCGTAGGAATATAGTGTTTTCCCGAGGAACTACCAAGCAAAACCGAAGGAAAGAGTAGGAAAGTAGTGTCTTTCCTAGGAAAAACACAGGATTCCGTCCAAAATGTATGGAAAATAGTGTCTTCCCTTGTAAAACGCAGGAAACATGCTGCTTTCCTATGCTTTAGGCCAAGCACACGGCCAAATAGAAAAAATCAAAAAAACATAAAAATAAATTACCAAATTAATTTCTGGCCCGTTTGGCAGTGAATGAGGTTCCTTAAACACTAAGCCAGGGTCGACCAGTTCGATGTCCCTTCAGATATTCCAGTCCTTAGATTCAGATGCATTTGCAGGTGTTTGTAGGGTGTTGCAGACTTTGTCCTAAACCCGACGCCCTGACCTTTGTCCTACCGTCCTTGTTCGACCCATCACCTCGGCAACCTCGGTGTCTTTGAGTCACTCGGGTCTTGAGGAGACGGAGAAGAGGGAGGAGGAGTAGGAGTAGGTGTAGGACTAAAGCGGGAAGGGTTCATGGAACACGTCGGTTTTGTGCGAGAGAGCACTTGATGGCAAGAGTCATAGATTTGATGATTCAAGAAGCAAGCATGGACAAGACCACCAATATCAAGTAATCTCGTCTCGGCGTTCTGCTGGTTGGCTCTTTTGACTTTAACTTTTGGGGTTTCTATATTAACTTTCATATAACAGCTCAAAGTTTAACTTTTGGGAGGGGTTCAGAAGTCAGCCAAGTCGTGATGAATCAGTGATGGAGATCCTCCTACTGATGGTGCTATGATTTCCTACTGCAACGGCTGCTGTGCCAATTTGCAGTTTTTCCTTAAAGCCTTCGAACCCCAAGCCTCTGACGAAGCAGGACGTCATGGGCACCATACTGCCGGGCATGCCAGCGGAGGAAGTCAGCCCACCCCGACAGGTGGGGCCGCCTTCATGGGTGCTTTCAAGAGAACCCATTGAATCTCAAAACGCTACCTCTGAAACGCGCGGAAAGCTCTGGGGTTTTGATCTATGAAGAGTTGCCGCTCATGGCCCTAAATTCTGCAGTCAGAAAGACTTGATGCCCAACAAAGCGGGGACTTAACGGAATTTGTCAATGACCTGCACAAGTTACATAGCGATGTCTTGTGGTATCTCAGACAGCGATCGGCGATAGTGATTGTGACAGATCTGCATCAGATAAATAAAGTATCCACAACTAAACAAACTTGCCCGAAACTCCTAAGCCCCAAACCCTAAAGCTTAAACCCGTGTAACCCTCGAAATCCCAGACCACGAACCTTATGCCATGAAAAGAGCAGACCTCATTGCAAGGCCCTATGAACCCATAGGCCCTGTAGAACCCTTCTGGAACCCGTCTAATTCTAGAACCCGCGAAACCTTAAAGCACCCAAACCCTCAACCTTAAGCGCCTTACCGTTTTCTTTGAAGAAGCCCTCAACCTTCAAGGCTCTGCCTTCAAAAAACAAAGCCCGGAGCCTTGAAAGCCAGGCCTGGGGCCTCGAGCACCGCAAGGCCGAGAAGAAGACCATCCTAAAGGCCTCGGCGCAGTTCCTCGAGGCGCTCTTGTGGGCTTGACTGACTCGGGGGGCTTGGGATGTAATTTATCACAACTCATGACGAAGGGAGACTATAGCGCACTACACGAGAATCATAAGGGATGAGGAAGGGAGACTATAAAGCAAGAAGGTGCAAGTTTTGGCAGGGTGGTGCAGGGTGTAGGTTGTTCGGTGTTTTAAGGTCAAAGCTCAAGGTTCAGCGTTTTAGGTTCACGGTTTGAGATTTAAGGCTTGGGACTTGAGGGGTTTTGCGGCTTGCAGGGCTTTCAGGGCTTTCTAGGGTTCGAGGGGAATAGCTTTCAAGGTTCACGGATGTTGACGGTTGGGGCGAAAACCAAGTCCGACTCCTTAGACCATGAATCCTGAACCCCGAAAGCCTGACTAGTAATCCCGATATCCTCCAGACTCAAAGTAGTGGTGGATGTTGCCGTACTGAAACAGAGAGGTTGCAACAATACAAACACATCCGAAACAGCCTGGAGCCCTTATAGACCTCATATAGATCTCTCGCATACCGCCTGTATAGCTCTTTGAAGACCCCTTTCGAATCCCTGGTAGAGACTGCAGTGCTTCGAGAAACCGCTCTTGGAGGCTGCGATGGATGCCAAGTTGGATGTCGTGGCAGGGGCCAAGGACCACAAGGGCTGGCTGCGAGGGTTTAGGTTTTAAGGCCGTTTAGGGTTTAGGGTTCAGGGTTTAGAGTTGAGGGATGTTGAACTCGTTTTCTAGTGGCCCTTGCCTCCTTTGCAGTGTCGCACCTTGAGTTAGAGCGGTTAGAGGGCACCAAATATTGAGAGACTAGGTTTCGGCTTTGGGGTTGAGGGTCTTAAACCCTATGCACTGAACCGCAGGCTGTCGGAATATTAAAATTTCAAGGGCTTCAGCTATCTGTTGCTGTGACGCTTTTGCACCTTCAAGTCTTGAACCCCACAGTACAGTACACCAAAACCCCCAAAAAGCCGAGACGCACTGAAGCCAAGAAGACCCCTGCACCTTCAAACTCCAACTTTACAGCCGCCAAAGCCTTGTGCTGGAAGGGCTTCAACGTGGACGAAGAGGCATTCGAAGGAAATCAGATGCAGACAGCGGCGCGGTTTCGGCCGGAGGCTGCCTACCTGACAAAACCCAAAGCTGGCAAACCCCGAACATCCTAACACTGAACCCTGCGTAATTCGAAAATGTTCGAATAAGGTTTTGGGGAGTTTCAGAAATGTAGGTTTTTTCCAGAGGTTGAGGGGTGTTGGAGGGTTCTGGGTTTAGGGAGGGTTTTCTTAGGGTTAATGCTTCATTAGGGTTTCGGGTTTATGAGAGGGAGTCCAGAGTGGAGTTCAGTTTTGAGGATATGAGATGTGGTGACTGGGTTTCAGGTTGTAGGACACATCGTTTGGCTTTGCAGCTCTAGGGCTGTTTTGGGATGTGGGACCTGAACCCTAGAATCCTAAACCCTAAGCCCTCCTAAACCCTGAACCCTAAACACTGAGCCCTAAACCTTAAAACCCTGAACCCTAAACCTTAAACCCTAACTGCACCCTAAACCCTGAAACCCTGAACCCCAAATTCCAAACCCTGAAGCCTCTGAGGTGCATCAGCGTCTCGCGAAGTCTTTGCACGAACTGGAGAGTCGGCAACAGGCCTCGGAGCAGTCCTTGACCAAAAAAGTGCCAGAAAAAAGCCGGGAAGATGATGCGAAGCAGGAGCCAGGGCTTTGGGTTTAGGGTTCAGGGGTTCGGGATTAGGGTAGAGGGAAGATGATGCGAAGCAGGAGTCGGGGCTTAGGGTTCAGGGTTTCGGGGTTAGATGAATCGAAGCAGGGTGTGGGGTTTATTGTTGAGTGGTCCAGGGGAGATAGCAAGGGTGTAGGTTTATCATTTGTTGGAGTCCGGGCTTTGGTTCAAGGTTTCCGGGTTCATTGGCACTGCATCGGCCTGGATCCGGTTAGCAGCTTTTCCGTTGAAGGGTGTGGGATCTGTGACCCCCTTGAGCCCCACCGAAGAGCCTAATTCCTCAGCCATGCACCCCAAGCCGTAGATGACCCCAAGTCCTGCACCCCAAACCCTAAGATGCAAGTTTCTGAAATTAAGAGGCTGAAGTAACGGACCTTACGTGTAAGTCGCGGATCCTTTTCTTTTCAGAACAAGCACTGAGCTCTAAATCCCAAGTTGCCGTATGCCCGTAAGTGTCGTACACTCTCCTGGCCGAATGGCCTCCCCCTTGGAACCACTAGTGTGGAGCCTTGGAAAAGGGATCCCAACACACCCAAGCACCTAAATCTTATGCCTAAACCCTAAGCCCTAAACCTAAACCCTAAACCCAGAACCCTAAGCCCTAAACCCCCAAACCCCTAAGCCCTAAATCCTAAACCCGAAACCCCAAATCCGAACCCTAAACCCTACGACGAAGCAGGAGCTGCACGATCAGGTGGCCAGACTACAGGTTGAGAGCGCTGGCCTCAGGGAGAGGGTTCGGGTTTCGGTTCTTCGGCCCTGAACCGTAAGCCCTAAGCCCAAAGCCCTAAACCCTGAACCCCCCGAACTTTAAGACTCCTTTATCGGTTCCTCAAGTTTCGAGATCTACAGGTTTACTTACGGTTTTGGTTTCCCAGGTGTTTAGGGTTGAGGGCTTTTGGTTTTGGGATCCACAAGACACAGCATTTGGATGGAGCATTTGGGATGCACTGGGATCCCCTTCTGGTAGAGCGAGGGATACTAGCACACGACATCACACGACATATTCGCTCCCGTGATCTGGTCCTGTGAGAGTCTAAAGCTCCAAGTACAGGGCGGACATGCGGTGCAGAACGCATGGTTCAGGCTTTGGAAAAGGGCAGTGCCACCTTAGTAGCATGAGGCCCATGCTTGTCGATTCTCCCATGTTCGTCGATTCGGCAATGCCTGGACGACCTGTTCATGCTGCAACACGGTTCCACTCACCCCTGCCCCAACAGTGGTTGAATCTTCACCCGGTACAGAGCCCTAACTCATGCCTCCTATGCTCAACCCTACAGTCGAGGCCCCAAACCCCAACACCTTGCTGAACTCGAATCCGAAGCCAACCCCTCCCCCCTTTCCTGAGAGATCTTTGGGTAGATGCTTCAAGACCCTAAACCCTAAATCGCTGGATCAGTCGAACAAGGAGCCCCTTAAAAGGAAACCTAAACCCTCAAACCTGAACCCAGGTCTGCAACACATGGTCTCCAGGGTGACCTACAACGTGGGGGAGTTTCTCCATGAGACCAAGGCCGAAGCCCTAAAGCCACAACCCTAAATGGGAGTTTCCGAAAGTGAAGGGTAGTAGCTTCTTTTGGGATCCTTATAAGAAGAATCCTACTGTTCAGGCTAATATACCTATTTTCGGAAACTCCCTAAAGTCTTGCACCGTAAAGTTGCAGAGTCCAGTTCCATCGGCAGTCGTGTTAAGTCACCAGGATTGTGAGCGTTAGTAGTCATTTTTGCCGATTTACCAAGACTATTCCTCAGGGTTCCAGCCATAGATATGATATAGTATACTATACCCTTTCAATTATTAAATGCCCTTCAAATTGCAGTAGCGAGTTTCCAGTACGTGTTTCCTCTTTCGTACATCAGGAACCGAAAAGGGGAAAACAGCTTCGAACTACCACTCATGTTCCCGGGCCAGGTCATCTATTTCACCAACAAGCTCCTCAGCAGATTGAGAGATAGTCAGCCAGTCAGCCACAAGACCTAGGCAAGACACCATCGTGCTTTCAAAACCCAAAGGCAAAACCCGACATCAACCCCGCGCCCCAAGCCCTGCCCTGAACTGCTGTTGTAGCCTTGTTTGGCATCGGAATGCGGTGGCATCGGAATGCGGATGATACAGATTGACCTTTATGTGCTTATGATACACTCCTTTCCGGGCTCCCTGGCACGTGAACGCCCTTGCAACTTCAACCCCGAGTTCTCCATTCTACATGGTTTTGGGTTTGCGTGGGCGGCGCTTCTGTTCAGCTCCTCGCACAATCGATGGCGAAGGGCCGACGGGCACACCTAACCGAAGACCTAAACCCAAGCTCCCTTGGAAGCCCCAAGAAATGGCCCCCAGTCAGCAAATCTTTGCAGCGCCTTGCCCCTGGGCCCTGGGGTGGCCCTGCCCTGCCCTGCCCTGAACCCTGGAATGGGTTTTGGTTTGGCTCATGCGGCGTGGGATCGTGGGATGGGAGAGCAGGGGTGAAGCACCTTCTATAGACGGGCAGCTCATCGCCATACTAGTGCACTCCAGAAAGTCCACACAGCCTTGTCGCAAGATACAACCCTGACCCGACAACCCTAAACCCTCAACCCCAAACCCAAAACTCAAAACCCTAACCCTACACCCCTAAACCCCTGAACCCTGCACCCCTGAACCCTAAATCCTAAACCTTGAACCAGAAGCCCAGGCAAGCTTTGCATTTCACGGCCGAGCGCATGCCGAAGGTCCGTGAGGCTCTTGGCATCCAGGAGCCCAAGCTCCTTGGCTTGGGCTTCGGGTTTCGGATGTACTGATAAGGGTTTATTTTCGGGTTTGGCATTCACGGTTTAGGAATTTAGGGTTAAGGGTTAAGGTTTAAGATTTCTGGTTTAGGAGAAGGGGGTTATGGTTTGGGGTTTAGGGTTTAGGGTTGAGGGTCGAAGGTTTAGGCTTTAGGGTTCAGGATCAGAGGCTTTAGTTTTTGTGTTGCCTTAGTTTGATTTTGTAGTTTTGGTTGATATGTATTATTATGTTTTGCGTTGATCGATTTTGTGGTGTATACAAAACCCTAAACCCTAAATGCAGTTTGTGTTGACAGGCTTTGTTTCAATCCTCCCGGCTCTTGATCTCCTCCCGAGCAGTCAGGGTTTTTGGGGTTTTGTGGTTTAGGGGTTGAGGGTTTAGGTTAAGGTTTTAGGGGTTTAGGGGTTTATGCAAGCAGTCAGCAGTCAATCCGAGCGAGAGCGACGCCTGGATCCTGAGACAGATGATTTAGGTGTATGTACAAAATACGAATTAGCCTGCTTTTGTGCGGCGACGAGACCGACCAACTTGGTTTAAGGGGTTTAGGGGTTCGGGTTTAGGGTTGAAGGGTTGAGTTGAAGGGTTTAGGGTTCGAAGCCTGGAGAAGCTAGAATCCACCGGGCAGAAGCTGCAAGAGACGAACCGGCCCTGCATGCCCCCCATGTCAATAGAACTCGTAAGCTCCACCCGAACCGCAGAACCGATGCATCTGAGGCTCGTGATTTGGCTTATTCCATCTCTCTGTGGCCATAGCTTCTGGAAAGGACAATCTCGCCTTAAAGACTTCTTGCCGACCAAGACGGTTCCAGAACTGTTTGGTCATGAGGAGAAGGTCGAGCGGCAAATGACTCCAGCCAGAAGTCAGTGTATGCTTAAGCGGGTTTTGCTGCATGTTGTAAGACAACAAAGTCTGGAGGGTCGACGACTTCTTGGTTTATTTGGTGAGCAGATTGGTATTTTGCCAGGTCAGAGACGTCGGCGAAAATCCATGAGCGCTAAACTTCCGAAGGTACACCCCGAATCAGCAAAATGCCCAGAGCCCTACCTCGCGAAGCGTTTCAGAAGATGCACACCTCCAAGAATCCTGAATCCTCAATCGAAGCCGCAGGTGATGAATCTTGAACTCCGAATGCCTAAAACCCAAAAGGCTCGGAGGAATTGGGCAGTAAGTAAGTAAGCATTTAAGGACCTTTTTGGAGCCGTTCGCAACTACAGCTACAAGGTCCTGTTACTAAGTCCCATGATCCTTTACGTGAGGTTCAAAAGCGAAACCAGACTGAACCGCCAAGCCCTGAATCCTAACCCCAGCATAGGGACCGTACTAGTTGGAGTTGTAATTTAGCCTATATACTTGTAGATGGACAGGTGCAAGGGTTCCGGAGTGCACTCTTCTTGGCCACAAGCTTTGAGATGTAGGGCACTTGGTCTTCTACAGGAACATGGTGGCCCGCGACGTGCTCCTTCCTGTGGCCATGCAAACTAATGCGCTGATCGTCGGCCGGAGCACTTGCAGCCTCACCACTGCTCTTTGGTTACGAAGATTTGCGAGTTTCCGAAAATTAGGGGGTACCTTATTCGGGTCCTTATGATAAGGATCCTACTATTTGGGGTACTAGATTAGGGTCCCCTATTTTCGGAAACCCGCATTTTTTTACTCTAAACCAGAGCCACAGAACGATATGACCCCAAAGCCCTGCCTGCCCACCAGTGCTTAAATGCCTGAATCTCACTCTGCATTCCCCAAAGCTCGGACCCTAAACGAAGGGTATTCTCAGGCCATAGGGTTGTTATGTGTGTGGGGGCATTCCTCTTGGAACTATGCCAAAACATAAGGTTTGCATATTCGTACATACACATATGAACTCATGTACATATATGCACATACAGCACCAAAAATACATTCTTACGTTTCTATGCCCGCAGTGTACGCACACTCTCACGCCTATAGATATACATCTATAGAAAATGTAAATACAGATGTGGATTTCGATGTAGATGTAGATATAGATATGCACGCACGACATTTCGATCCTCTGCTCAGCTAGTACATATCAATATTGACTTACGTCTAGAGCAGCATCATGCTGTTTGCCCTCCGTTGCCAGGCCTTTGCTGAAGTCAGCGAGCCCATTCAGAATAGCCTGGGAGCTTCGTGTCCGTTTCAACTGCTCATTGTCGAGAATGCTCGGAATTATTATATACCGACGAAACTGAAGCCAAACAGCTTCGAGCAAAAGCTGCTGCAGAGCAATAACACTTGGAGGAAGGCCGATTTCATCCCTTCCCTGACTCAATCCTACGGCGTGGACCCAGTGCTGTGGCCACGCCATCGGCTGGTCGAGGGTGCTGCTGCCTACGTCGTCTTCGAGTGTTTGGACGAGAAGAGACTCCACGACCCACGCGCTGCCGTGCAATTCGAGAACATCTTCGTATCATCTCTCCGCACCTCACTTCCAGTCTTGGGTCTTTGGACCGGCGGGGACGTGAATGTCCTGAAGTACGAGGCGTTGAACTGTGTGACCAACGGCATTCCTCTCATCTTGCTGGACAGCAGGCCAGAGCTTGTAGCCGCCGAAAAAGCTCCCGACGGGCCACCAGATGATGAACCCGAGGTACTCCTTGAAGATAAAGCAACGACTCCAGCTGCACCGACGAGGTATGATATTCACGTTGCTGCCGAGCGTCTTCGGAAACATTCCGAGGCACTTAACCGCTTGATCCTTTTCGACACGATGGTCGGTTCTGCGCTCGCCTGCGTACGTGCAAGCCTCAAACACAAGGTGAAGGAGCACCGAGTAGACAAGCAACTTTGGCTTTATGATGCTGTGATACGGGCAACGCTCCAATCACACCATGAAAGAGGCGATGCGAATCCAGAAGATCTTTCAATCGAGGACGAAGATGTCAGCATGGCCACCGAAATTCTGATTAATCATGTGGCTGATCAGCTGTCGAAGGCCATCTCGCTTGTTTCGATGCAGTTTCAGTGTAAGCTCCGGAGCCTGTACCTTAAACGCCGAGTCCTAACTCAGAAAGACTCTAAACTTCTAAACGCTAATTAACAGAGTAACCCTGAACCCATAAAGCCTCTAAACATCTCTAAACCGTGAGGCCTAAACCCTCAGCCCCCGAAGAAAGGCAAGCCCCCAAACAGAGGCAGCTCTAGTCTCTTCAACTGTTCCCCCTGTGCGTCTCGTCCAGGGTTGAGGGCCTATGACCGATTACTTGAGGTGATCAATCTTAGAGTTTACGATTGAGGTTTTGGGGTTTAGGGTTTGGGGTCTTAGTTGGTCTGGGTTTGGGTTTGGGGTTTCGTAGGGCTTAGGAACGTCTCGAGACGCGCACACAGGGTTTATTGAGGGTTTAGGGCCTAGGCTTTTAGAACAAAATGCCCTGCCCAATTCACCAAACCCCATTAAACCCCAAACATCCCCAAACCCTAAACCTTAAACCCTAAACCTTAAACCCTACACCTTAAACCCGACACCTTAAACTTTAAACCCTAAACAAACTCCAAACCCCAGCCTTCACGCTCTTGGCCAGGAGGCCACCGTAAATACCAGCAGGCTGGAAGATGGGACCCTTAGCAACGCAGTCTTTAGGGCATCGGGCTTCTGGTTCAGGGGGCTTAAGGTTTAGGGTTTCGGGCTAGGTAGTTGTTTTCATATGTTTGGTAGTATACTCTTAAATCCCACCAGGTTCAACCCTAAACCCTAAACCTCCTTAGCCTTGTGGAACTTCAAGCAAGGATCGAGGCTCTGAGGGCTTGTGAGGACTGGGCACAGCTTGAGGAAGAGTGGACGAGGCAGCGGCTGGGTGGCAACTAAATTCGGAGTCTTTACTATACTTAAAGGATCATGGGACTTAGTAAGTAGGGTTATAAAGAAGGTAACTATATTTATAATTATATATAATCCCAATTGGGATACTTATAACCTTGCGTCCTAAGTCTCATAATCCTTCAAGTAGGAGCTTTAGTAATTACTCCTTATCATAATTACAGTATAATGGGCCCCAAAACCCCATTGTAATTATGAAGGCCCCTCCATCAGCTTCCTTTACAGTTGCTTTCGCTCGGATTTGCAGTAAGGGAGCAGGAGTAAGGATCGCACCGACTAAGTTAGTTCCTTTCTAGAGCCAGAGGCTAATTCCGAAACACATCAACAGCGACCATGCTCTACATTTTCTGTATACGCCTTTGTGGTTTCACTCCGCATACTCCTCCTACTCTACAACTCCCCTACTCCTACTCTCCTACTCCCAGTTTCCTATCTTATTCCTCTGCTTGTATTCTTACTCCTACTCTTCTACTCCTACTTTCCGACTCCTACTTTCCCGGTCTTACGCATCTACTCCGACGAAGTTAGTTCCTTTCTAGAGTCAGACACGGTTTAGGGTTTAGGGTATTTCGTGGACCCTTCAATAGCAACCGAGGTGGGAGAAGCTGTGCTACTTTGCGGTCTGGAACGGCTGGGATGACATAACCATCACTGTGAAGGAAGCCGGTGGACCGAAGCAGGAGGGACTTCTTCGGGGGAGGGTTTAGGCTTTAGGGTTTCAGGGTTTAGGGTCGCGCATTTAGGGGCCGCTCATGACATAGACGGCCATGATTTTGAACCCTAAGAAAGTCCTCGAATGCTACACCATCAAGATATGTGAACTTCGTGCTGCAAGGGATCAACCTTAAACTCCTCGACTTGAAAGGATCCTGAATCCTAAACCCCAACACACTAACCATAAACCCTTAACCCCAAATCCTAAACCATAGGCCCTAAACCCTAAATCCTAAACGATAAACCCTGAATCCTAAATTACCGAAAACCCTAAAGCCCCTAAGTCGACTGCGTGGTTTGCTCCACACAGGTTCCGCTGCTGAGAGGCCCATCACCCGAGGCCGAGTTTCAAACATCAGGCCCGGGCGAGGAAGATAGAGTTTAGGTTTAGGGAGGTGAGCCTATGGGTTTAGACTAATAACCTCGTGGATCCCAAACCCTAAACCCTAAGCATAGGGGCCATTATAACTACCTATACTATATTGGGTGTTCCTGGTTATAGCTATAGTATAATTGACCCCAAAACCCTATTCTAATTATTCAGGCTCCTACAAAAGCCTGCAAGGGCTTATGGTTCTTCTTCGTCAACAGAGCCCCAACTCCTTTTGGCCAAGGGCCAAGGGCCTCAATTCGGATTCGGGCTCGGGCCCCAGGCTTTCTGCTCGTCTTGGGTATGCCCTTAAGATTAGAATAGGGTTTTGGGGTATATTATACTTTAGCTATAATAATGAACACCCAAAATAGCAAGCTCAGCCGAAAGCCCTTGGTGTTTAGGGCCTTCGGGGCCGGAGGTTTGGTCGTTCGGGTTGGGAGTTCAGCCTTGTCGGATGACTGGTCGTATATAGATCCTGCGTGTGCGTAGGTGGGTGTGTGGGTGTGTATGTGTGCTATTTTCATCTGAAAGGGAGCGGGGCTGCATAGTGTAAATAGCACTCATGTTGCAGGGTGAGGAAACGGTGATGAATAATATGGTCATAGTCGATGGGAGAGCAGCATCACTCTCAACAAGACACATTGGTGATGATGATTGTGAAGTTGCTCTGATATCAGTCGCGCAGCCCAGTGCTCGGCAGGCCGTCCCCAAGTGAGGTTGAGCAAGGACGGGCTGCCACCGGGTGTGCAGCTCCTTGGATATTCGACCATAGTCAAGGCCGTGCCATCGCGTGAATAATCGTGTGGAGGATGTTTCCTTTGGGTCGGTATATGAGCACCTCTTTTTGCATCTTCGGGGCTTTCAAGAACCCGAAACCTTGAACCCAAACCCCAAACCCCAAACCCTAAGCCCTGAACCCCCAGGTTCGCAGAGGTGCGGGCCACCCTATTCCAACATCTCGATCGGTGGCTGGCAGAAGCCCGGAAGTACGACCACATGAAGAAATCTCCGCCGGTGGTGAAAAACGATAAGAGGCCGGAGCTATGCCCGTCCTGTTAACATCACAAACCCCCTATCCTGAAACCTAAGCCCTTAACTTAAACCCTACATCAAAAGCTGAACCCCAATCTCAAGCCCCAAATCCAAAAACCTAAAGGCTAAGTAACCCTACATCCCGAATCCTAAACCCTAAACCCCATAATATCCTGACTCCTATACCCTAAACCCTATATCATATCCTGCACGCTAAACCCTAAACCCTAAACCTAAACCCTAAACCCAAACCTCGAATTCGCAGGCTCTGGCTGGCAACCTATGAGCTGCTGAAGTCCGATGATGTCTACAGCATCCGATTCTTCCCTGGCGCATGAAGCAAGTGAGTTTTAAGCCGTGGGATTTAGCGTTTTAGGGCTTAGGGTTTAGGGGTTTTAGGGATTTGGCTTCCTGGCATATCAGCAAGCGATTTGTGCTGCTCTTGATTCCATGGCAAGGCCTATCGGATCATCGATCGTTGAAGCAACGCATCCAGGCGCTGTCGCGATCTGATCGCCTCCCCAAAGCCAGCTCATTGGAGGAGCGGTCTTCCACCGTGAAGGGTTAGTCCGTATTTGTTTTGAAGAAGATCTGTGAGGGTATCTGTGACTGGGGGTCCACTTTTTCAGATTCCAAATAGGGGTATCTTTTATCATAGAGTCCAGGGCTTTTGGTGTAGGGTTTCGGGTCCACGGCATTGGGATTCGTTGTCTTGATTCAGCACCAATTAGGGTTATCGAGGCATCCCCAGGGATGAGGTGGGTCGATCGCGGTATCAGTAGTGATTGCTACTATCGGTGTTTCTGGTTGTGCAGTGAGTGCAGCTGCTGATTACTAGCTTTAAGTGCTGCTGTTCTTCTTGTTTTGATGTTGCGGGTGTCCTTGTTGCCATTGTGTCCGGCATCATCATGAAGACACTCGTTGCCATGTTTGTTGCTCGCTCCATCATTCTTGATGTAATGCTTCTGCTATCAAGTTATGGTTGCTGTCACCCGAGTTTAGTGTTTTGAGTTCTCTATGCCTCAGTATGTCTGGCTCTCGTCACTGCTCCTGGTTCGTAGGTGCAGCTACTCCTGTCAATTTTTGAATGATTAGCACTACTATTCCTTATATAGGTTTCGTTTTTCTCGTGAAAGCATACAATACCCACAGCCCTATTTCTTATTCTTAAGGCCCTATGACTATGGCTAGCTGCTGCTAGTTCTTGCATCAGTCTTCTTACGCTTCGGATTGTTCACGTAGTTTCTGCTGTTTCAGAAGCATTACATCTTTACGGTTTTCTGTTTGCAGTGGCTGAGTTTTTTCTCACCTCGCGTTGCAGTGTTAGTGATGACAATTGCGGTTATGTCGATGGTTGTGACGATGATCACGACCATAACCATGATGACCATGACTATGGTTAGTTTTTTTCAATGTTGTGATTGGAGCTACGGTTTCGCTTTTGGCGGCGTGGGGTTTTCGAGCCGCCGGCTCGAATCCCCGACAGAGGCCTTATAGAGTTTGCGCACTAGCCGGAGGCTACACTCGCAGATGAGGGTCGGAAAGTTCTCTGTGAAAATGAACTCTTAGAGCCCCCGTCCTCGGATCTAGGCCCCTGTGTTCATATAGGGGCCTCAACAATTACCTACACTATTTTGGGGGCTCCTTATGATCATTACGGTATAATGGGCCCCAAAACCCCATTCCAATTGTGCAGGCCCCTATATTAGCTTCCTTTGTGGGTGTCCTTCAGTGTTCTTTTAACCCTAAACCCTATTCTAACTATTGAGGCCCCTGTGTTACATCCGAAGCCTCGCAAGCAGACTCTTCCCCTTCAAGGGGCTCTTGCTGCTGCGCTGCGCCTGGACTCTCGCAGATATCTTCGATGAGAAGGTCCTTCCCCATAATCCTATAGTGTTTAGGGTTTGGGGTTGAGGGAGCCCTAAAACTTCTAGAGGGTTTAGGGTTTGGGGCCTAGGGAACCCGAAAATCCTATAGGGTTTAGGGTTTGGGGTTTAGGGAACCCTGAAATCCTCTACAGTTTAGGGTTTCGGGTTTAGGGAACCCTAAGCCTTTTTCAGCCGCTCTACAGCTTTCTTTTGTTAGCTTCTCAACTTTTGGCTTGGGGATCGCTGTTCAGGGCTATGGGCTGAAGCTGCCGAAAGACTTCAGGGTTGAATATCAATCCCCCGCTGTTCGCTCACCCCTGGGCACCCTGAGTAGGGCCTGTGGTGTTGCGGGATTTTGGTACCTGACAGCTTCCGTGTCGATTTTTTCAAGGCTGGGACTCTAGAGCAGGGGACGGTCCTTTGTTACAGTAGTTCCTTGCAGGTCGGTCTGATATCTAAACTCAACACCACAACCCTAAACCCAAAACCCTAAACCCCTTGAAGCAGAAACAGGCGAGGTGGCTCAAGCGCACGGCGAAGCTCTCCTTCTTCCTCGTGCTTTCCTTGGGAGTGATGATCACCTTTGTGACCACCTCGACCTTGCCAACGGACCTGTCCGATGACACTTTTGCTTCGTCTGGCTTAGTCGGGCTTTGGGTTACTTGGAGGATCAGGGGACTTAGCAAGTAAGGTTATAAGTCCCCTAATTGGGGTTATAAGTATAGCTACCTTATTTATAACTCTAGTTACTAAGTCCCATGATCCTTTAAGTAAGTGTTCAGAACTTCGGGGTTGAGGGGTCCGGGCTTGAAGCGCCTCGCTCATCTTCGGTCCTTTGCGCTGCAAGCATATCTTGCGCTCTTTCTCGCCCATCTGTATCGACTTCAGAGCTGTTACGCAGGGTTTTCAAAAGACTCTGAGGTCCGACACGACAGCAGGTCGAATTGAGGAGAAGCCTGGGTTTTTCAAAGTAAACAAGACCCTGAACCCTAAACCTCACATGCGAACTCCAAGCTCCAAACCTGCAGACTCCAAGCTGTAAATCTTCAGACAGACGGAGCGTGCCGAACACCATACTCTAGAAGTCTGAGTATTTTGTACTTATGGCTCCTTATAGTCCCTATTTGATAGTGCTTTAATGATACCACAGTATGAACCGACAACCTTATTCTAATTGCTCTACCTTTCGGACCACTGGATGCTCGAAGCTTGGTTTGAATTTGAAGCTCCAGATGCTTCAGTCGCTCCCATCACCCTAAGAGCCATGCGAAGCTGAGGAACAGAAGAAGTACGCCGTCTTGGGACTCTGGGTCAATTTTGGTGAATTTTTGGTTGTTTTGTCTGAGAAAAGGTTCCAAATTCTCTCTCTACCGACGGTGCCAAGGTATCCTATATCCGATTCATCACGCGTCAGCCGAAACGCTTGAACCAAAACCATGAACCTTCAAGGACAAACCCAAGACCAAACCGCCATAAAGCCCCATCAACAGAGAAGCACGAACCCTGAACTCCATTGTCCCAACAGCCTAGCTCCCCGAACGCGCCATAAACCCAACATCCTAAAACACAAGGGCTGAATCGAACCGCCAAAGAGCCCCCGAAACCCCACACCACAAACTCTAAACCCTAAACCCTTAACTGCAAACCACAAATCGGGCTCGAGGTCTCAGCTTAGCATCAAGCTCCCTCGCGGCTTGGACGACCTTCACCGAGCCTTCTCCCAACAGCATACCTTTTCCATCATCTCTTGTGCCGCAGGATTTCGGGGCTAGGGTTTAGGATTCAAGGGTTCATCTAATTCAGGCTGTAGGAATTGGGTTTGCTAAATGCTCAGCAACAGGCGGTCGTTGAGCCTTTTGGTTGGGCCTTAGGGCTGACTTAAGCCGTAAGCCCCAGACCCGAGAAACAAGCAAGGACCCCTCGAAGAAGTGGATGAAGCTGCGCGACTTGGGGCTCTGATTCGTTTTTTGTTTGTACCTTTTTTGCTGGCTCTCCATAGCCTCTAAAAAAACTCCAAGCCTACTGCCCCCTAGCCCGAAAAAAGGCCGGCGCTTCTCTCCCGTGTCCTCACATCAGTTGGGCCGAGGCACTGCGTCACAGAGGCTCCAAGCTGAGATATGGAAGTTCAGGACCCGTGCTGGGGTTGGCCCCGAAACGCCAAGACCCGAAAAGATTTCTGTCCCAGGACTCGTGTCGGTCTCTATGGAGGCACAGACTACACGCATCTGAGCGTCGGCGCAGATGAGGCGGAGAGACAGGCGGGATGGGTGAATGCGTGCGCACATGTATATCCGAATCCGTATGTGTGCATGCATGTATGCATGCATGGTTGTTCGTTTGCGTGTTTGCCTTTTTGCGCGTGTACATGTGTGTGTGTGCACGTTGATATGCATGTATACATGTGTGTGTACATGTATACATGCATGTATGTATTTAGGTATGCCAGTAAGTAGTAAGTAAGTATGCATGTACGAATGTATGTAACTGTGTGTATGTGTTTGTGTGTATATGCATGTGTGTGTGTGCATGTGTGTTACATGTATGTATGCATGTATGCATGTATGAAAGTATGAATGTATTCATGCATGCATGTACATGCGTATGTGTACATGCATGTGTATGTGTTCGTGCACATGTATGTATATGTGCACGCGCATGTGTACGTTTATGCATATGCGTATGTGTCTGCGTATGTGTATGCATATGCGTATGGGTATGTGTCTGTGTACAGGTATGTGCCTGGGTTGTGTGTGTTTCTCTCTCTCTCTCTATATATATATGCGTGTATATGCGTGCATGTTGTAGATGTGTGTGTGTGTGTGAGTGAGTGTGCATGTGCGTACAGTATCTGTATGCGTATGTTTATGTGCATTTGATAGCAGGTGGATATGTACAAATGCATGCCTGTATCCTATGTTTGCATGCCTGTCTGTCTGTTTGTCTGTCTATATTTCATTAGGACGTGCTATGCCTCTGACTCGTAAAGGGCTGGATGTCGTCCGCTTTCAGGCCGAGAAGGAGCTCCGCGACAGGATCTTCGCCATTGCCGACAGTGCTCTTGGTCCGAAGGACCAGCTGTCCAGCAGCATGACGACCGATGACATCTGTGTCTAGGTCCCAAGTAGTACCCGTCTTTATGCATTGCTTCAAGGATTTGCCTGGGGCTTCTGTATAGGGGTTCTATAAGGTATTAGATTTTCTAGATCTTCCAGGAGCACCCTTCTGCCTGTCTTGTTTTGGGTTTCATGGAAAAATGGGAAAATCAGAGTACATGTGTTCTTATGTGGATAGTCGGGAACGAAGGTGTCCGCCTGGGCGTTGACGAAGATGCTGGCTACGGCAATCAAGCTGAAGGCTCCACAGATCTGGTCAGCCTGATGAAACTTGGCGTTATTCTGGTTGGCTCTTAGGACTCCGACTCTAACTTTTTGTTTCTAAATGAACCATAACAAGGAGGCTAAAAGTTTAACTTTTAAGAGGGGTTCAGAAGTCAGCCAAGGAAAAAGAGGCTGCAAAAGAACGTGACGGCAGCACACCGGCGACACAAGCAGTACCCACCACCAGCGCATTCTAAGCAGCCTGCAGCACCAGATGCTATTGCTGCTGAGGATAGCCACCATGCCCCGGCAACCCCTGAGGAATACATTATTTGGAGGCTGAACCCGCTGCGCGAGTTTTATCAGAAGCGGATTCCAAAGGTTCGCTACACTCGGATGGCTTTTCAAGCACCTTTGGCCAACAAGAGAAGCATCTGAATCTGTTGTCGTTGTTCTTTGTTTCGCAGCCGTTGCTGTTTTCGCGGCAGCGGCGGTGGTGTTGGTGGTGGTGGTGGTGGTAGTGGTAGTAGTGTTGCTGCTGTTGTTGGTGTGGTAAGGGGGTGGTGGTTGTAGTTGTTGTGGCTGTGGTAGTGTTTTTGGTACTTGTGCTTGCTGCTGGGATTCGGGGAGCTGAAGGGTGGAAGGATGCAGAAATGAAGGTGTAGCAGTGTAACACTTGGGTCGGAATCAGTTCCCGCATTATTACCTACTGCGGTGTTATAGTATACCCCAGGCCCTGATTCGTAAGACCCCTATGTGAGGCCTTGGGTTAGGGGTTCGGCTTACCGAGCCGTGAACCGAAAACTCGGTAGGTGTTAAACACGCAGGTGTTGCAGTAGCAGAAATAGTAATTCAGAGTACCGGATACCATGAGACCAAAAACCGTAGTTAAGAAACTGTACCACAAACCCGTGAATTCGAAGCCCTGAACACCTCCCAAGAAGCATCTTACAGTAAGACACTGAACCATCCAAGTAGTTCCGTCAAGAACGTGACGTAGTATAGGGTTCAAGGGTTTGGGGTTAAGGGCTGAGGGCTTAGAGGCTTAGGGTATTATACTATCAGCTTTCAGAGAGCCGAGAATGCGCAAGCCGAACGACACGCGGCTTGCACAGCCCCGGAAGACCCTATCCTATGAGACCTTCCAGAGACCTCTGTAGGCAAAGCTCACGCACTCAGTGTACGACTTTACAAACCGGTACAGGCCCGACAGCAGGATTCTGAAAGAATCTGCAAAACATACTGTTTCAAGACGCTGTAAACCAGCTTCACAAGGTGAAAAAGCCATGTAAAGACCTAAGCTCTCAACCCCAAAGCCCACAAACCTCTGAACCCAAAACCGCACCGTAAACAAAGGTTAAACCTCAAAATCCGTAAACCCCAAGCCCACAAAACACCGCTGTTTCAGAGTGTCTCGAGGTCCTCTTCCTGATGTCCACAGCCTTGACTTCCGTGCTCGCTGTGTCGGACCAAACGACCTGGAGAATCCGGCGAAAGAGGGTTTTTTGCAGGGTTTGGGGTTCGCTTTGGCGTTGGAGTTTGAATCCTAAACTAAGAGGCTTTATAGGGGCGTCAGAGTCTTAGGAAGATTAGGTTTAGTCTTAGGGTTTCAGATTTAGGAGAGTATGTAGGTCTAGGGCTTCGGATCTAGGTTTAGTTAGTCTATTTGGGGCTCAGGGATGAGGGGCTTCTGGTATTTGGGGTTAGGGCTTCGGGTGCAGATAAGTCCCTGAACCCTCAGCCGGGCAAGGGATCAAGAGTGTTTGGGGCCTGGGTCCTAGGTCTTCGGTGTTGTACGGCTTTGCTGAGTTTCCCGTCAAAAAAAGGATCAAGAGTGTTTGCTCTTGAAGGACACCACTCGTGGTCGCGATCTCGGCGGCACTGGCATCGTGGCAGGAGACCCGTCGCTGTGGTAGGTGATGGGTTTCCCGTCGACCGAAAACTTGTTGTGTGTTACTATTGTCGTTAATTCCTCCTGCTCCTCCGGCTCCTGCTGTTGCTGCGAGCCAAGTTCTGATGATTAGACTTACTACCATTTGTACAAGTATGACAACTGTATAACTACGACAGCTACGAAACAAGACCATTCCTTCTGGACGAGGAACCATAGCAGTGTTGTTTCGATTACTTTGAAGTCATGACCAGCGCGCTGGTGCTCAAAAGAAGGATGGATTCAAGTGCCACCTCCAACAGTGTCACTATTTGGTTCGAGTTGCTCGGCCATAAACCCTAAATCGTAAACCTTAACGCTCGAAAGTGCCAGTCCCAATAATTTCAAGAGGCTTTGTTCACGCACTCGACCCTTGGAGCTCGAGCTTTGGGGTTCAGATGCTTCTGAGCTAAGGCTTCAAGTTGCAGGCCTCAGGATCTGCGACCTAGGGGTCATCTAGTTTGAGGCTGCAGGATTCGGGTTGCTTCGGGCTTTGGGGCAAGAGATGTGGTGGTTTAAAGGGAACTCCAGAAAGTTGGAATATGGATTAATGGTAGGATCCCCTATAATTTACCTTAAAGGGGTTACGATAATGATATTCCAACTTTCTGGCTTCTACTGTAGGAGTTCTGCAATGTTGGAAGGAGTTTCGTGGAGTGGACATGAAGCTCGAGCGTTACGGGGCCGTGGTGGCGGCACTCCGGAACATGATGCTCTGGTGGCAGACGCTTCCGGAGGTCGACAAGGCCAGGTGCCAAAGCGTAGCTTTCGTTGATGAACTCGTGTATACAGATTACAGGCGACGGAAGGTGAGGGCATCGATTACTGCCCTGATGATGGTTTCTTAGGTGTTGAAGGGCTGGTGTCTCTAGCATGTCGGAGCACTGCTACCAGACACCGACTTTTCTTGGATAGTTCAAGACCCTATTCAGCCCGACAGTCCTTGCTAGGCGCAGCCGTAAGATAGTTCCTGAGTCCCTTACACCCTCAAGCCTTGATCCTTAAAGAGCAGCCGGAGCTCAGGCAAACAGGCTGTGAGAGTTTCGGGCTTGCGTCTTTCGGGCTTACGACTCAGCATGGGCCGTTTCCAAACAAGGCGAATGTGCGCCACATCGAGACTTTGGTGGGGAAGACTGAGATGGCTGCGTACTCCGAGCTTTCTGCATGGCTCAGTGATGCGCAGCAGGACAGGTTAGGGGGTGGCACCAAATCCAGAGGTCTTTTGATTTCATAACTGTCGCGCCCGAAGCCTTGGACCCTTGACCGCGCAGTTTCGACAGACCCGTAAACCCTAAGTATCGAAACCTTTTGAAAAAGCACTTATCGAAACCTTTTGAAAAATGACTTATCGAAACCTTTTGAACAATCACTTTCCGAAGCCTTTGGAAAAGATGAAACTGTGCAATGCCGTAGGGAGTAGTTTGAGACTCGCGCATGACTGGCAGGAGAAGCAGCCGTCCGTCCAGTCATAGGGCTTAAACTTTAGGGTTTAGGGGTTTAGAGTTTCGGGTAGCTGTCATGTACATGTAGACGTGTGTGATAAGGTGTCAGGTTGTTAGGCGTATGAAGCGTATGAAGGCTTTGCATGATGCTTGAGACTCATTCACCTGCGGTATGTGGTAAGTGAATCGTACCTCAGATGTCAGTACATGGGCCTTGAGTTAAGACCGTGCTCTTCTGCAAGGCACGCGACCTCGTGGAGAGGACATCATCGAGTCAGGCCCAGCGACTGAAAGCGAAGGTGTCTTGATCCATGAGTGGAACCCCTGGGCAACAGACTGCCGATGGGGTGCGTCACCACGAGCTGCCTGCGTATTTGTATTTTCTTCCTGGCAAGCGTTCCTATGCTGTGAGATGCAGATCACCTTGTCGACTTGCCTCACGAAGTTTGGCATACCAAGTTGTCGCGGAATCATTAGGAAGTGTCTCTTCCATGGAGGTACATGTGTTTAGCATTCCGCTCGGTTCGGAACTAGCCGATAGTGTGTGGTCAGCAATTTGGCAACTTCTTTCGCTAATGAACCTCCTGAAAGAGATCTTTCCTTAAGCGTCCGGGCGTTCTGCCCGAGAACGCGATCATTTTCAGAATACATTTTCAGAAGCTGCAGCTACTGCATCGAATACCGGTGCTGGCCCCGTGGCCGACAGTGGCTGTTTTATTTAAGCCGTAAGCCCTAAATTCTGAACCTCTACACAGACTCTCCATTCCTCAGGCCTTGATCCCCCAAAGCCCGAACTCCGAAACCCGAAATCCCTGCAGCACAACCCCGTGGTTCAAAATCGTTGAACCTGTCTCTCCGATCTCCAAGAGAGGAGCTGACACAACTGGGATGCGCAGTGGACAACACTACCGACTCTGTGCGGTGCATTCCGATTCCAAAAAACCCAACTATATGTAAATTAATTTAGACTCTGTAGAACCTTAGTTAACGAAAAATATCAATACTAAAAGGGAAAATAAGAGACGGTAGGGGATAGCATTTCTGATATTCATTAACTCTACAATATATTGATACTTCTCTATAATATCTTAGTTGTCAAGAAAAAAATTTGGCATTCTTTCGAGTTATTCAAAAGTCATATAATAATCATAGATGGATCATTTCTGATAATTTTTTCGAAGTGTTCGTTGAAGATATATTTCAATTCGATGGTATATATATATATATATATATTCTATAGATATTTTTCAATATTTTAATTAGAAAAATCTAATATCATAAATTTATTCTATCTTCTATGAGATTTTTCCAATCTTATTTATTTCAATATATCGTTTGATAAATAGATAGAAATTATGAAGAATGAAAAATTTGATATAATTTTTCGAAGGAACGAATCGGTCAAGAAGATTTTATATCAGAACTAAATATCACAAATATCAATTTCCTAGAGAAATAAATATTAGGGATAATAAGAGGCGCTCGCAAGAATTATACGG